TAAGAAGATAGAAAGAAGTACAGATCCAAAAACTGAAAAGCCTCCTTCAGAATTCTTTACAGTAAATAAGGCTGTATCACGGTGTGATATATCTAATAAACAAATTAATATGGAGTTACATACTAACAGTGCCCAAGTTTCACACATATTAATCTCTGACTTACTCTCCTAATCATTTTATCAGCGTTTGACTAATCTGCCGTAATGACTGCTTTCATGTCACCAAGAGTGTGGATGTGTGACTCTTATTGATCACGTGGGTACAGAAGTTTCACCTGGTAGGAAAACTTTGACTCCAAGTAAGTAGCGTCAATGGGTTCCAGCATCCGAAATAGCACATGAACCTGGTATGGTCACAGTGACTACACGAATCTATGCTCTGCTTCATGGTGGATCCAACTTCAAGTTAAATACCATAGTAGTAGTCTCTTCTGACAACCATCTACTGTTTGGACATCCGAAGAGAATTCTTAATCCTTAAAATCTTAGTTACACAATCTCACAAAATATTAGTTACGCTACTTTGTGAACAACACACCAGCACATCATATATTATCGTTATACTGCTTTTAGGGTATAGTTTTTTATTTTGATAATATCACTACTGCAATTCTTTTTTATTTCCCTCATCTGGGTGCTGACGTTTAAAATCTTCATGTAGACGTACCCCAACTAAGTCACTCAATATATGTCCGCGGAAAATTGCAAACCAATGAGATGACTAATACAGCAAACATGCTGCTTAATTACGCCGTTTGCAACTTGCAACACTGAACTGATTTTCGACAGTTGAAGGAGAGAGACAAAAAGCCCTAGAACTGGGTTTCACAGTTGTCTACACTTGTCGCAAAGGAGCATCTGCAAAATTTAAGAAACTGTCTACAGTGCTGTCATCAGAACCGTTACCACTGAGCTATTTTTGGGCTCAGGAGTGACCTCTAGTAGGCATATGATGGATACATTAACTAGTCTTTACCGAGTTACTAATGTCATGCATCTAGTTATTGCTGATTGACATCTGCCAGTCAAGTTTGTAATGTCATCGGACTAGACAAAAAAGCGGCAATAGTAGACTCCGGTCCACACAAAGACCACGGATTAAACAATGTAAAATCTGAATTCCCAAATATGGTATGCAACCTTTATAAAGCTCATTGGCTTATTTTTGAATATACAGTGTGTAGTGATGTACGTAGGCTACTTGTGCTTAACACTGAATAATGCCTGCATAACACCACTGGGTTCCGTTGCTCTGATAAACGTTATTCATGTAAACTCCACTTACAGCTTCAATTTTCACTAACCGCTTATACAATACAGCTGATTAATGAAGAGTGATTCTAGGTAAACTCATTTATATTTCTGCGCTTTCAATTATAGTAGTGATGAAGTCTTTCACTGGGTGGGGGTGCTAACCTTACCTAACCGCTATTCTATTTGGCTCTTAGGAACGCGAAGTTAAGCGAGATTGGTTTACCTGATACTGTAGGAAGAAGTATTCTTTGCAGATAACGGAGGACTTATGAATCGCCAGGTTTATGCAGACCTCAGTACTACCGGTAACCAGTGTTTAGAGTCATTCGCAAGATAACTCATCCAAATTTGCGTACCTCATGAACGGCGTCAACGGAAATTCCACAGGTTTTTCGATTCAACTATAACTCCAGTACAGTTTTACCAAAAAAAGTTAGTACAGCTCTTGTATTACCGGGGAACATTCAGATGTCGACTTGGGCTTCAACAAAAGCTCCAAGCACCACAAAACAGCTAACCATCCCTAGGCCAGTGGTGTAGTGCGGCAATTTTACTGAGTCAATCAGGTACGATCATGAGTTAGTATGGTAAACCACTATTTTAGTCATCGTTAGCATTAGAAATGTGTCATAAACTGACATTCGGTGTACTTCTACATAAATGGTATGTGGAACCACATAAAAAATTTCCAGGAGAATCCCTGTTCTTACGCAAAATTTTTAAGGATAACTTGAAACTGCCATACCAATGAGTTCCTACAGATATAATTTGCATAGTGATATTGCATAATATTAAACACCACTTACATGAAATCGTGGTGATCAATGTCATTCGCCATACCAATAGCAAGCAATATTACTGCCAAGGCAAAATTCTAAAAGATAAATGGTAAGCTAGATAGACTATTTAGGAATCATGTCGACTGCAGTTTTACCAATCAATCTACTTGGCGATGGTTATATGTTTATTAATGGAATAGATAACTGGACCAGAGTTTGAAATGACCTTCAAGTGTCAGTGTCATATGGCACTCGGCAATAAATTCATCTCGCTCATTTTTAAGATGGAATGGAAATTATCATCAGAGAAGCAACTAGATTGGTGGTGAGCAAATAGGAGACGGGAAGTATACCAAGGCGTTGGAATGGCGCCTTAATAGTAAGAGTATGTTAAAGTGGTCAGCACATTGTTCTCAGATACGTCAGAAGTACTAGAGGCAGAGTGCAAAACACTTAAAAGACTAATTTTTCAACAGCAAGTTATTTTTCTTCCTTATCACAAATTTTTACTGCGCTGAATTTGCAGACCTAGCTTTTTTCAATTATATGCAGTGATGCGGTCGGTCGGTCGGTTTTCGACATAGAACTTTGCACATATGTGCGGCAGTTCAAGTCGCCACAATCTATGTAGCACGCAAAGCAAGAGAAGGAAGTAGAAGAAATGCATAATATAGACAGTAAACAGTGGTGTGAGACAAAGGAATAGTAATAACGGAGAACAAAAGTTTAATTGGAAATCATAAGTCACAAGGAGTGGATGCATCTGAGCCACTGAGAACGATTTTGAGCCATATCACCAATTGTTTCCAACCATTGGTTTTTACCATCCCGAGGGCCCCAACCAGGAAGTCTACATCTTCCTACGTGGCTTAGATTAACTGTTGTGGATTTCATTGATTGGTGCCATGTTTTGGTTTGACCGCCGCTAGCTCTTTTCCAGCCTGACCCTATATCAGCTAACATTGCCCGTCGAGGAAGGCGATGACTAGGCATACGTAGCACATGTCCTAACCATCTCAGTCGAAGTAATTTCACCGTTTCGTCGATTGATTTCCCCGCCTTACCTAGCACTCGACGCCTAACCTCAATATTGCTCACCTTATTATACCACTTCACGCGGGAGATAGAACGCAGACACCTATGGTCGAAGACAGCTAATCTTTTCATGTCTTCTGCTCTCAATGGCCAGGTCTCACAGCCATAAAGGAGGACGGAGCGGACTGTTGAGCAGTACACACGCCCTTTGGTCGATAGTCGGATATCGCGTCTACGCCAGAGACGGCGAAAACTGGCGAATGCGAACCTAGCCCTCTGTATTCGTGCTGAAATTTCGTCGGAGATCAACCCGTTGGGGCTGATGGTACTTCCCAAGTAAGTGAAGCGGTCAACGTGTTCTACCACTTCACTTCCTATTTCTAATCTAGGGGTCGATGAAGTCCAATCCTGCAGCATCATCTTACATTTTATGCAGTGATGCAGTTCACTTCGTCCCACTTTTGAGCTGCAACACTCATTGAAAATTGAAGATATAAAAAGATTTGCTTCGGATATTGCTGGTTCATGTCCAATACTAAGGACAGCATCATTGTTGATGATTAGGTCAGTAGCATAAGGTGGAGAAAAGTTAATTTAATTCATGTCATAACACCAGCTTGTGTGTATTCCTTTACGTTCTCAGCGGAACTTCAAGCCTTTAGCTTGAAGTTCAAACCAAACCTTCCCTCTTTACCAGTATTATTACTGGCTTAGCGAGGTAAAGGAGTGCATCGGTCAACGATCGAACCCCGGATCACATGCGTAGTTGGAGAGCATTCTGCCGCTGGACTACTGACGCAGAAAAATTGCACATATTTTATTGATGGTTTGCTTGTATATGATTTGTACTTTTCTATGTCTAAAATCTCCTTTTGAAAGAACGGTTTGGTACCTACGCTCACATACACCCATGTTGTTAAAAGTAATCTAAAACCCTGTCCCAGTGTTTGCATAAGCGCTGGTGTTGCGAAGACTAGTGAACAACCACTTATCCTAAGTCAGTAAAATACAACAACCTTGATCACACTGCCAGATGCCAAGTTTTCTCACAGCTTTGGGTCTGTAGTACATAACTTTTTTTAAATGAAGATGTTCAGGAGGTAGATTTTGGACTACCGCTGTCCCACAAAGATCACTTATATATGACGTCGAGAGCGCGTGCATAAATCGCAAATTCGCTGAACAAGTACCTCAGCAATTCAGTTTTAGGCACTCAAAAATATAATAGGGATTACGTAGTGTATACTGTTTTTCTTACCATCCTCGAGTGGAGGCCGAGAACCAGTGGGGTTATACGATGGATAACCTTGACTCAATAGTGCATTAAGTGTGCCATGCGTCCCCCACCAATGCTCTTACGACCTTCATTTAAGTAGGTATTATGCCAAACAATGTTAGGTAACTTGTACCATTTCTATTGACAAACAGCAGTACAACCTTACAGCAGGTGAAATTGTTGGAAATCATACGTCGATATTCACGAGATGAATATCGATACAAACACCTCTGCAGTGCACTTTTTAATGAATTCAATCAGTACTATCAGTCTATTGCACATAACGTTTGCACAGGTGTGTACTCGTTTAGATAATCTGCTTGTGTGCGAATTCGCCTAAAATAGGACCGAGAAAACGAATTGATGTCTCCTACTACCGCTACAGACAACATAAAACAATCATATGATTACAATGCATACAAGCAGGACCTCGTCTGAAAACATGACGGCCTTAAATTTAACGCTGTTTACAACCACTAATCTTCCTCTATCCTAACACCACACACTAGCACATGAGCATACACGCCATAGAAGTAGAAGGGTCAAACCAATTAAAGTATGTACGGTTACAATGGAGTAGGAAAATTCCTTTAACCAACACCGGAATTAGTTACTCCAAATAATAATAGATGATTTGGAAAAATGTAAATACTCACTTGTCAGGATTGTGTCTATCTTAACTATGCTTTTTCTTATATCCACGTTCGTAACATTGTCGACTATGATGTCCAGCCACAGGTACACAACTGACACAATGAGTGACATAGAGGACAGGAACAAACTGAATCCACAAGACCCTTGATCTTCATTAAATAAACAAATCCCGTAAACGTAACAACAATTATGCACAATCCCGATGACGACCGTCGCCAATACCTATAAGGATCTTCCATTACAGCAAAAGGAATTCATTTACCATACAACTTAAACGAAGAAAAACTTGCGGTTTCCTAACATAGTCGAAAAATTCTAGTCTGGTCGTACTGTAAATCCAGTCGACCGAAAACATGTCTACTTCAAGGCCGAAGATTGCCCGCTCTTCATTTGACATGGTCATATATGCAAACAAAAACATGTGGAACAGCAAATATCTTATTCAAGTAGAAACTAGGGACAGTTAATGTGAAAGCAAAGCAAAGGGCAGATACTGCATATAAGAATCTACCAAAAGGTTGAATGTGACGGCAATACCAGCTATCCCAAACACAAGCCCATCTCTGATAAGTCACCTAAGCATATACACTTCTTCCTAAGGCAGTCTTAGGTCTAAAACGAAGCAAAGCAAATGTTCGTACAGTACATTATTAAGCCATCAGTTTTACCATCAGATTCTCTTCAGTTGCATAAAACCTAAGATTTACTTATGTAATGGAATATTTCCACACTTGAAAGGTTCAAAATGGCTTTTGTTAACAGAGAAACATGTTAATAAAAATGTTCAGAAGGTTCACTCATTTAACATATGAAGGATGTTAAGTTTCAGACAAAATGCAAATATGCAGACTTTATGGTTGGACACAAAACATTGATTTGCACAGTCAGGACAACAGGAGAGAAGTTAATGATGAGTAATTGTGTAATGAGCTTAGCTCAACCCATAGAAACAGGGAAGTGAATTCGTCAACTCACAAATATGAAGAGGGGTTTAAAGCATCAGATCATGTAACCAATTTGGACGAAGAGATTAGGCGTTGGGTCACCCAACGTTATTAGTCATAAAAAATTCCTCTCCTCTTGTCCCGATTGTGCAACGCAATGTTCCGTGGGTACGATAATATAGTTTGCATTTTTGGATTTATCTGAAACTTGACATCCTTCATATGATAAATGAGCGAAACTTCTGAACACCGTTTATTGACATGTATCTCTGTTAACAAGAGCGATGTTGAACATTTCAAGTGCAAAAATTCTATATAAGTTAACACAAGTACATCTTAGGTTGTATACAGGCAAACATGCATGCGGCCCGGACGACGCGCTCATTTATCCCTCTAAGCTGGTTATAAGACCAGTAAAGTGGGAAGGTTGAGCATGACGCCAGCCACTCCATCCCGTTAAAGTAAACACCACTGCCACCCGAATTTCAAAGCTCTAGCTTAAAGCCCTACGTTCCACTGGGAATGTAAGGGAACAAAACAAATTTTGTCCAAATCTGGTAAAGTATGATTCTGGCGAGTACTGAAGACGTTTACAATCTACTGATTCGCAAGCTTTTACTCAACATGGGAGAAAGCACTATCCTCGATGGCAGCTTATGCCAATACGTGAGGTGACCGTTCCTCAGTGGTGTCGTCGATTCATAAAATGTACTCCTTGACTCCATAAAACCAACATTCAGCAATATGTCGTGCATTTGTGGGAGGAGGAAAAGAAGAGATGGATAGGTTTTCGATTCAGGTCATATAGAACTATGCCACACTATCTACTACCAATTAATCTTTTATGTGAAGGTCATGAAAGAAAAGTGAATACCACGTAGCAAACTCCGCTGAAAACTCTACGCATTACGCAGGCGCTCCGTAGAATGAAGCCATCACTATTTTAAAAAATTTAGACGTTTAGAGTTCATGCACGAAGAATTAAGCGAAACGTCAAAAAGTACCAGATATAGATGGATGTTCACGGCACACCTCCAGGTAACAATGGCAAACTAAACTGTGAATTATTCTACACTGAAAGTAAAAATTATGTCAAAATCGCTGGAAGTACAAGTATGGCATGACCGATATATATCAGCAAGCATGAATATTGGGCTACCAATTATCTATCCATCATCATATTGCATCTAATGTCTCGTTTCAATATCTTTAACCCATTAAAATATAACCTACAATCCTTTGTATACACTCGTGAATATTTAAAATGCTTAAAAACTGCGGATTCGCAAACTTCCACAAAACCTAAGAAAAAGAACCATGTTGGGCTGCAACGCGCTTAAAATCACACCCCTGTACACCAGACGATCGCTCCTGAGATTATGAGAACAAACTATAGCTCCCTGCCCCGCAAAATTAACTCTCTGCAATCCCTCATGTCCTCCAATATATACCGCAATGCAGGGATCATAACTCTTCGGTAAATCTGGCTCCATGACCTATATGATGATAATTTAGACTGTCCAAATGGTTTTAGATTATTCGGAGAAGATTGGCGTAGTTCTAAGGGGGATTGTGGCAGTGGCGTTGCAACCTTCATCAATCCTCGGCGATGAACGTCAAATAATGTATGTTTCAGACTCTGTAGTGACAAATTTAACTGCCTCAATGTTTGCATGTTGACTGAAACACCTGCTGAAGTATAACTGCATATGCATTTCAAACATCCATATTACACATGGATGTAGTCTCTCAGAAATGTCCTCATTTGCTGATGAGTTCACTTCCTTTGCTGCAACTCCTTATCAATAGTTACTGGTGACTTCAATTCTTGGGACTTCAGTTTCCTTACATCGCAGGGTCATGAAAATATTGTCAACTTCTCAACACGGCTAGAAAATACTCTGGGTCTGGGGTTTACAATGACTTTGGCATATTTGGAGCTTGGAAAATGACTCCACTACTTATTTCTTATCACTGCATCATACGCATATGGCCCGAAATATATGGAAAGCTGCACAAAGGGTCTTCTTGCACTTTTGGCAAGAAAATACAACATAGATGTTACTCCCACGATAATATACAGGATCTAAGGAGCATGTTGAATGATAGTAATTGGGACTTATTTACTGAACAAGTTCCAGATCACACAACCACAAACGTAACATGTTACCACAAACACTGCCATGATGTTTGTTGTCCGAAAGAGACACTCCTAAAGTTTAAGCGCCCCTCCCCTTCTTAGCTCAGAAAGCATGGTCGAGAATAAAAGGAGTTATACAAAATGAAGGACAGTCCTGGTGTTTAGTTACTAAACTCTTTATTTAATCAGAATTGCAGGGATTAAATATGGTCTATGACGAAATGCTCTAACTGCGCAGAACCTCATCAAATATTTGGAAGATTTTTATCGAAACCACCAGTTGTTAGCAAACAAATGACAATCCTTCTTCAGTTGTTGCTGTCACTCTTAATAAGTCTTTCATATGTCGTCCAGCGGATATTATGATCTCAAATTCTTCAACGTAAGGCGGTCTCCTCAAATCACTGGGCTGCCAAGAAGCTTTCCTCCAAAATGGTTAATTGCATCTGGATTAATTATTGTTTTAACCGTCCAATTATATCAAACGACCTATAAATGAACTTGTGCACTAGTTTAACCTGCTTCTACGTAAACTTTAGCACTCTGTTTACTGCCGTTGGTCACTTGATCAGCTGATTTCTATAGGCTATGTTTATTGAAAAAACCTCATATTTAGGTAATTATTTGTCGTTTCATACACTGTTATGCTTGTATTCCTGCTAAAAATCGTTTGAAATGAACCGTTTTTAGCATAAACAGCAAATGATGGTGTCCTTATCCGCCTGTAATTTGCAGCCAGTATACAAGTAGTTGAAATGCGTACTGTTTCATTAAGAAAATGCCAAATTACTTAAAGACACTCATGATAAGGAATTTTTGTGATGGTTTCTTGCAGTTCAAAGGATTAGATATCGATATGATAAGGTACGCTAGTTCGTTTTGTTAATTATTTTAACCTCATATGTTGTATACTTTTGCTGATGGGGCAACAGTAAGGAATAGACACCAACTTCAGACGACCTTGAAACAGCCGATCAGATTCCTCTGGGCGAAAAGTGGAACTTAATTTACAGAGAAGTGTATCTACGATATATATGTGAGAAAATGAATCATATGTGGTATATATATCTAATTTGCTGCGAACACTAGTCCCAGATTCTCATAGAAGTGGTTATATACATATCAAACAAATGTATTCTGTGTTTCTCCAGCTGTAGATACTGATGCTTTACGCCATATATTAGTAAATGAAAGCTATAATTTCGAGAAAATGTTGTCTAAAATTTCACAAAGTGAAAATAAATCTACCATAGATAACAATAATCTATTCTCATTTTTTACATGAGGGATGCCAGTTTACAGGCATCATCAATTTGATAAATTACATATGCGATTAGTTAGCATATTTAATAATAGTAATTTAACAAAGTACATTTTTTCCTACCTGTGTAGGCGTGGATAAGTATTATTTAAATTACATAAATTTGGTTCATGGTTAAATAATGTGGTTGCAGTCATTTTGTCTATGGGAACAATATGATAACTAGACATTCAATGGAGCACATCAAGAAATATGTAAATATTGTCTTCGCATTAACAAAAAAACCAAGTATGTTTTGGATGGATTACAAATACTTGAGAAAAAATAAAACTTGAAGTAATTCCCCCATATAACTTTGGTGTGTACGGCATCGAGTCTTATTCTTGTGCGTCGGTGGCACAGTGGTTAGGACTCTCGCCGACCATGCACATGGTCCGGGGTTCGATCCCCTGCCGGCGCACACCCGATATCTATGGTCGGCCTGTAAAATTTGGGCTACCGATATCCACGCTGAAAATTCCATACTTGTACTGAAAACACGGTGTGGAATCAAGCTGTAAATCAAAATAAAAAAATAAAATAAAAAATCCCAATCGGGTATTAATTTAAAATAAGTGATACACTTGTATAATTTTGCCAGCATTTTCATCGTAACATCACAAGTGAATTGTACACAATGTAGACTAATAATGGCAGTTTATATATTCTTATAAACGGGTGTTTTCAAGAAATGCAAGCTATTTTATTAGACACGATCAGTTATGTTGTAAGATACAATCGTGAAGTATTATAAATCAATACTTTTTTATTGGTATAAAGGTATATTTCACAACTGTAATCCAGGTTACGTCGTGGGGAAATGCAATGAGTAATTCACGAGGGAATTGTAAGATATGGGACCAGTAATGTTTGCAGATCATTTGTCATTGTAAGTGGTCGAAAATGAACGTTCTTTATCCTCATTAAAAGCCACAGAGAAGCTAAAATGGTGAGAGAAAAAAGAAGACAAGTAGCAGAAGCACATATGAAAGCAAACGGAGTCCTCTAGGAGTGGTTTATAAA